GCTTACTTATACAGCCATTCTGTTTTTCCCTCTCAGTACAATGTTCAACAAATTATATGAGATATTCAGCACTTTATTATAAAATAAGCTTTGTGATAGATGATTTTGCTTAACTTAAGGGCATATATGTGTCCTGAGCACACTTAAACCTAAGTTAGGATAATCTATGGTGATTGGTTTGTTAGATATATTAAATGAATTTTGGACTTACAATCATTTCAACTTCTGGATTTATTAAGATGCAGCCCTAAGTTGAGTTGCGCCTATATATGCTTTTGTACTTTCTAGAGTTTAGTATTTGTGACTCATCTATGTTTTTGTGTGTATTTATAGTCTGTAGTTTCCAGTGAAATTTTTGCTTCATTCTTACCTGTATTCCTCTGTATGTAGTTTTTCTCTGATTGTGTTTCAGATTGCTCTCTTTATTGCTGTGTTGATTGTGTTGACTGATCATGAAATGCTTAGAAATAATTGTCTTTATGGGGACTATAAAAGTTCCAGGATATGTGGGTCCACAGTTTCACTGAATAATTAGAAACATTTCACCACATTTACTTCAAAATAGTTTTTGTCTCTTCCTCTCACACACATTCAGAGACTTCAGTTCATGTGCATGGCAACCAGAATTACCTTTCAAATGTTCCATAGTTCAGTGATGTTTTACTAATTTTATTCAGTCATTTATTCTCTTTGTGTTTCAATTTGGGTGGTTTCTGTCACTACATATTGAATTCACTAATCTCCCTCAGTGTCTACTGTATCATTACTCTCATCAACTGTAATTTTTATCTCAGGCATTGTAGTTTTTATCTCTAGAAACTCAATTTGGGTCCTTTTACATTTTTCATATCATAAATTAATATGATCAATACTTCCCGTAGCTTCTTCAAAATGTAGAATTCAGCCATAATAATTTTAGCATGTTTTTTAATATTAATGATCTGTACCATTCCTGAATTGACTTCTAGTAATTGACTTTTCTTTGCCTAGTTTCATACTCTTCCTGCTTCCTCTCAAGAATTATGAAGAATTGGGCTAGGGATTTAGCTCAGTGGTTCTGCTGGCTGCCTTGCAAGTGCAAGGTCCTGAGTTCAATCCCTGGTACAAAAAAAAAAAAAAAAATAATTATGAAGAATCTGAGATTTTGTACTACCTGAAATTAACTTGTTAATTTGATGATAAAATGGTTCATTATTCAAATCAATAGCAGTAACCAGAATGTGTTTGTCATTTCTGGAGCCCCAGTTCCACAGGGTGACCTGATGTGGGCCAAGATATATCTGCACATTTAGTGGGTTGTATCCCAGGGAAAGGCTCTTGAGCATAGAGAATCTGAATCTTTTGTAGAAGCCAGTAGGCCTGTCTACTCTTTGATCTGGAGGGAGACACTATTCTTATCTTCTATGAATATAAGCAAGCCTGTCCTTTGCATCAAAAAGAGACACTTTCTCTGTATTCAAAAGTTGTTTGCTATATAAACATTCTTGAGAAGATTGGTTAGAACAAAGCCAGTCAGCGCCTCTGCTCACAGGATGTGCAAAACATGAAAAAGGCATGGAGAACTGTCTGGCAATATTTCTTTGCATAACTGGTAATTTGATCAATTTTACTGGTGGAGTGTGAGACAGATTTATAGTCCAATATTCTTAAGCTTCATTTTTGGATGCAGTTAAGCCACTCAGACATAGCTTGATCATTGAAAGTTTTGTTTTTAAGATATACTGGGAGGGCCAGAACAGCATTTAGTTTATTGTTCATTTTGCTCTACTATGGATACAAAACTGTTCTGAGTTCTCTACAAATCTGGTTTTCTAGTCTGGCTGGTGGGACCAGGCACTCCTCCTGTGCCTGTATAAATTCAAGGGTTAGTTCCTCAAGTCTTTCAGCAGTATTTATCTAGGCCTTCATAGTTTCCTTTCCTGAACGCCCAGCTTTTTCTTCTCTAGGACTCTGTTCCCACATTCTAGCAACTTAGCTTTCAAAGTCCCTCACATATGTCTCCTCAACTCAAGGAGTCCACTGGGCTCCACCTAAGGTCCTCCCCTCTGCACCACTGCCTGGAAATTCTCTCCATGCAGTCAGCAGAGACAATCATATGGGTCCCTTCATTTTTTGGCTCTTAGGGATTTCTGAGACTTATGAAATTTCAACATCAATTGGTACATTTTCTTTATTTGATGATGGAACTTATCCCAGTAAACACCATTATTGTTTTCTTGCAATGCTGGGGATTGAATCCAGGGCCTAGATCTCTAGCTTTTTAAAACATTTTTTACCTTGAAACAGGATCACAATAAGTCACTAAACTGCCCAATCTGGACTGGAATTTGACAGGCATGAGCCACCATTCCTGGCTTCTTGTGGAATATTTTAATGGAATATGTAGTTTAACTCTTACAAGGCACTATTATTATTATTGACTTGTATCATCAATATTCATTTAAACTGACTCAGTAATTACCACTTAGCTTGTTCTTAATTCTTTCCTTTGTCTTTGATTGTCTACCTGGAATTAGTATCTTCCTATCTGTAGATCACCAGAAACCACTGGTGATGAATTCTTCCTCTTTAGTTTGTTCTGAAACGTTCTCAAAAAGCCTAAGTTTTGAAACATGTTCTTCCCTTGGGTTTAGAATTCTTGGTTGGCAGCTCTTTTGCTGTCTTGTATTTTTATTTCCATTACATCAATTGAAAAGTCAGTGATCATATAAGTGTTTGAAGACTGCTTTTTCAGATATTGTGTTTATCTTTGGCCTTCAGCAGTTTTACTATAATGGGTTTAGTTGTGGATTTAAGTTTTATTCATTCTGCTTTGTGTTCAAAAGGCTTTTGGAACATTTGGACAATATCTTTCATCGATGTAGGATATTTCTCACCATAGTTTCTTCAAATACCGCCCTGAACCAATTCTTTTTCTCTTGTAACTTGTGATAGACTTAATCATCAGTATCTTCAGTATCTTTTCTTTTTCTTTAGTGTTTGTCATTCTTTCCTTCTCTGTTGATTTTATTTTGGATATATTCTTCTGCCCTTACATATAGCTCATAAATTCTCTTTTGCCCATGTCTAACATGTTGTTAAACCATAAGAGTGCTCGTGCTCATTGAATTATTAATTTCAGTTATAGCAACTTTTACTTCTAAATTTTCTCTTCTTATTTTTCAATATTTATTTCTCAAATAAAATTTTCAATTTTATCTTTACTTCTTTATACATACATAGTGGAATAGTTATTTTATACTTTGAGTTTGTGACTTTTTCTCAGCTTATATGGGCTTTCTTACCTCTTTGTTTTATGTTTCATGATACCTTGTTTCCTCCTTTTTGGCTATTTTTGTATTTATGTGCTGGATATTATATTTCACAAGCTATTAATATAATGCATGAAAACTACAAGACTCTTTTCCTCTAGTAAATATTTTAAGTGTGTTTATCTTAGGTGCCCAGGATGATTAGCCATCTGAGCTGGTTCTCATTTAATTTAGGGATTGAGATGACTTCTAGGTGGGCAGCAGGCTTTCAGAAGTGAGATCTACTGCTGGCTCATTCTTCCTCCTATGGGGCATATCTTTGGGCTTTCAGTTTCAAACACAAGGAGTTACTAGGAACTTTTGTCTTTTTCAGCAATGGGGCTCCAGACATATTTTTTCAGAATTAGAAAATGATCTCAGTTAAAAACAGTTTTGAGTTCTGGGCTCACATATCTGGATATCTTTACTCAGGACTTAGACTAAGTTCTTCACTATATTGTTAGCTCTAGTAGGCCTTAAAGTCTCTCTCTCTCTAATATAAATATAGAATACATATTATATTAAATATATTACGTATTCAATATATACACAATATATTAAATGTAATGGATATTATATGTGTGTATAATATGCAATAAACGTAATATAATATATGTATATAGCTTTGTCTAGGTAGTCTAGTGAGAGAAATGTCTAAACTATTTTGGCTTTTGTTACTGAGAAAAGCCTTCTTCTTTGTCATTTTTTGTACAACATATACAATAAATTTCAGTGTTAAAGCATATTTAGGTAATATATATTGATACTAATTTTGAAATAATTATTTTAGTCTTTTCATACATTTACTTAGTCTCCCATATATAGTCTCTTCCAATTCTACCAATTCTCAGTCCTGAATTTTGCCTTCCTTTCTATATTTAATACTTTGTATAGGCCTTTGGTTAGTTTATTCTGAAAGTATGTCTAGGTGGGATCTTTTTTAAATCTTTGTATTATTGAGAAAATATTAATCGACTTCATGCATGAATAGAACTTCACTAAACATAGAAGCTGTGGCCTTTAGAGTTCTGGAAATGTTACTTCATTTTCTCCTCTAATTTAGGGTTGTGGAGGAAGAAGTTGAAGGCCACTCTGACTCTGGTGATGGTGCTTATTACCTGAGTTTTCCTTTTCATCTGCTTTCAGCGCCTTTCTTTATCATTGATTTTCAGGAATTCCATAGGCTATGTAGGTGTCTATTCTCATTTGAGTTTTCATTCTCTTTGCTTATGAAAATAATGTATATTCTTGTGTATGAGGTAGAGAAACTGGATTGCATTAGGAAAACTCTTTTCTGTTATTTTTCTAAAAATTGCTTCATTTTTGTTGGTTCTGTTCTCTTTTCTTGATATTCCAAGGATACGTAGATTTAATCTCCTGAGTTTATTTTCCAGATGACTTCCATTCATTCTCATTCTTAGCACACATTCATTTCATTACTTGCAAACTCAATGCTTAGAGAATCCAGGCAGGTAACAAAAGATAAAGTAAACAAAGACAGCTGGGGCTGGGTACAAAAAGAATGAAAGATGAGGACTGTGAAGAGCAAACCCCACCTCAAGATGCCAACTATCAGACAACTGGTTCTTAGCAATAACAAAATATTATTGGAATTTCATTTTTCCCTAAAAAACCTCATATCTGTTTTTTAAACAATGTAGTATTTCCCAATGAGGAAAAGAAAACTTCAAAAAAGATCTCACAACTTACCATTGGGGCGGTCTTGGTCAACAACAGAATGATCTGTTATGTCTTTTATAATATTGTCATCCTTTTCAGATTCTGACAATAAACAAGCAAAACTTTGATCAGCATTTTTAACTGAGAACAAAGCAGCTTCCAATACTGACATGAGAGATTTATTTGTGGGAACATTCACAAAGCTTATAAAGGTAGAGGTGTAGTTGGCAGTGTCTTTTTGCAGCAAAGAAAGAAACATAAAACAAGTTGCATGTGTCATGAAAGTCATAGAATTGTGGAAAAGGATATGAAAGGAAGGAAAAAGTACAGAAGATTAAAGGAATATCTAATTTTAATGTTCTTAATGCTTCTAGGACCTAAGTTGTTCACATATGGAAGCCTTGGGTCCTTGAGAAACTCAGATATAGCATGTTGGAAATCCAGTGGTAATTAACATCATCTTCCCCAGGTACCAGAACAGTTAGACAACAGCAATGAGGGAATGCAAACCTGTTCTGGAATGTGAACCTGTTCTGTGTAATGCGGATCTCTTTCTCATACCTCATTTAGATATGGAATCACAGAACATATCTTTTTTTGTTATAATGAATGTTATGCAGGAGATAACATGGCAAAAGGATTCCATGACTATGCGATCTTGCAAAGCTGCACTTCTGAATGTTCCCACGTCTCTCTGGAAGTTATTTAAAAAGGCACTGAGACAAACCTATGAATGGATCAAGAAGAATATAGGAAATGGATCTTTCATCCATTTTACAAATATTAAATTTTTTGAATGCTGAGGAGGAACAGGGAATAAAACAATTCTTTCCCTCTTTGGAGTTTACAATCTAGTAGATATATTTTATGTAGCTAAAAAAGAAAAGTTATTCAAAGATATTTAAAACCACTAGATAATCTTGTCAGCATGTGACTAGGAGACAACTGGAGATGGAAGACCTACACCTGTGTGACTTACAAGTGGGGTTTCTGCTGAGTTTGAATCCCTCAGTTGTTAACTTCCTAACAGAGCCAAATCTGATGCAGTCCAACATAAATCATTCTTCTTTGCTTCCCTTTCCCTCTTCCTTCTTTTCCTTCTCTTCCCTCCTTCTGAAAACTAGGAAACAGCTTCAAACATTATGGTTTGAGTTATTATGAGAAAGTTTGTTTCTTCAATATGCTACAAGCAACATTTGATGGACTAGTGAGAAACCTGGGTAGTTAACATATGATTCAAATTTAATAACCAGTGAAGCAAGGGTATACCGGAAGTGTATGGTTTTAATCAACTGTAAATAATTCTCCCAAGGCAAATGTTTTTTTGGCAAATGTTTAATTATATGCACTGTTTCTTATTTCTTTCTGAGACTGACAATAAGTTTAAAAGTCAAGATTAGGAAGCAAAATGGAGCATACACATATTTTCCAAACTATTACCTCACTCATGTCAAATTGTTTTATACCAATTCTCATTAAATATGCCCTTTTGAATTTTGGAGCTAACATGGATTCAAAAACGTCTCTTGAATATTTTTTCCACTAACATTGAAAATAAATAATGGTTGAAAAAGAAGCTAAGTGTATTAGGTTAATTTGAAAATGTTTTGTTTTTGTTTTTAGGGAATGTTATTAAATAGGTAGCTTTGTTCTACTCTCAGTTCTCTCAACATCAGCATTTTAGGACTATCTGGACTTTTACATGCATTTAGAATTTATTCATTAACACTTAACAATAATATACATCACTTATTGTAACAGTATGTTTCTACACAATTATGACTTAAGAAATGTCATTTAAAAGGTTATTTACATTGAGTTTATAAGTTTATAAGTGATATAATGATTCTCATAAGATGATTGAAAAACATTTGAAAAACTAATCATTGCCTTGGTCAAGTTTTGTCATCAAAATCTTTGTCTTCAGCAAATTAGAACTCAATTAATTTTGATTTCCTTAGAGAAAACTTTAACATTAGTGAGGCCCTTTCTGAGCTTATGTGTTCTACATAATTTTTTGTGCAATTTATATAATGCATTTCATTGACTCCAACACATTATCAATAGGTATTTCCACTATTATTTAATGCTACCAAATAAACTATAACACATTATAAATTCTAAGACATATCCTGATTTTTAGAGATAAAGTATATGAAAGAATACGCATCTTACAAATATACAATTTCAGTATGTTTATGTATGCAAATACATATGTCATTATGTACAAAAATATACATGTGTTTATGTGATGACAAGGATTTTGTATTACCATTACCCATTACCAATCCCACTCTGTCTTCTATGTGAGTCTCTTCTCTAGAAATGGTTCTATCTCCACATTTGTCAATAATGATAACATTCACAAATAACTAGGTGGCTGTAGAAGATTGTTTCTGTTGAAGTTACTCTATTAAAAGGATTCCTTGAATTTCCATGCTCATATACTTTAGCCAAGACTGGGTTTGATCCTGTATATTTTAATTCATGGTTCAGATTAAATTATGCTTAGCTGTGGGTATGAAATGACAATGAAGCTTTTCTGTTTAGGATGTAAGGGAAGCTGCACTACATCTTCATATGAAATTATTATATATAATGACAGAGAGGAAATATATACAATGGTACAATGTGTCCCCCAAAGTTCATGTGGTGAAATTTTGACTTACAAGGTTCTGGCATCAGGGGCTGAGACCTTTGGGAAGTGATCAGTTTGTGAGGGTGGAACCCTCAGAAACAGGATTAATGCACTCAAGAAAAGAGTGAGAGAGCTCCCTCATCTCTTCTTCCATGGAGGACAAAGAAAGGAGGCTCTGTGAACTGGAAAGTGGGCCCTCAACAGACACTGAATCAGCCAGCACTTTCATCTTAGACTTCACAGCTTTCAGAACAGGGAGAAGTGAATATCTTTAGTTTAGAAGCTGCCCACTTTGTGGACTTTTGTTATGGCAATCTAAATAGACCAGGGCACCAGTATAAATGGTGACAAAAGAGCTTATTAGTTCTATAAGCTACCATGAAAAATATAGTTGTAAATACCAAATTCTTACAGTACCTTGGATTTGCATTTTATGTAATTCTAAAAATTATCATTTGTCAATGTTAAAAAATGTAAAACAGTTATCACCTAATTCTGAGATTCAATTTTTTTTATAGAAGAGAGTGGAATTAAATTTATATGTAGATTCTGACTTTCAAATACTATAAGTTCAATATCCTATTTAAAGAAATTTTTCAAAAGAGAATATTAAATCAAATATTCAAGGCAAAGGTCTATACATAGATATGCTTTAAAGATTGAGGAGAATAAGAAAAACACTTTCATAAATTAAAAAAACCCTCTCATTGAAAAAATGTTTAAAAGAACATTGAATATTTAAAATTAATTAAACTAAAATAAAACCCCCATAAAACCAAATTTCCAAAAAGTCACTTAATGGATTTGGTTATACATAGTTACGTGGAAATGTACATGTATGAATTTAAGCTGTAATAACAAATGACACTACCGAATTTTTAATAAACATACCTAAACTATAAATCAAAGTAAGCACTATCTTTTCCCAAGATGTCCCTTTACAATAATTATTCTTAACCATAAGGGATCCCTGGATATACTCTAGTAATCCACAAATCCCTTTGAAAAAGACATAAAAATGTGTATATATTAATATGGTCATTTTTTTCTAGAAGGAGACAATTTCTATCATATTCTTATAGGGATCCCTGACCCCAGAAAGGTGAAAAATAACTAAAAATTTATATCCCAAAGCCTGTGACACTGCCATTTCACAGAAGATTTTCAAGACTGTTTTTGAGGAGTTAGCTACTGAGCTTGATGCCCACTTCATGAATTCATCAATGACTGCAAATTTTTAATTCTTAAGACAGATTTCACTTGACAAAATAGCCAACAATATTGGGATGGGAACAATAAATGAGGAAGATCCAACTGATAAAAAACTGAGCAAAAATTAGAGGCAAATATAAAGTATAAAGCAAAGAATGATTAACTGTTTCTGAAGATAATTTCATACCAGGAAGTCTATAAAATGCTTCTGGAAACACTGGTAGCCCCAACAACTATTATAGAATGGTGGCCTGCAAGGACTTCAGTGTAGAAGCTCTAATGGGTTTGTAGAAATAAATGCTGCACAGAAAAACTACACACTAAAAATTCCTTCTCTGGAGGGTGCAAATATCTACACATAAGCACCAGATCTTGATGCAAAGGTTGTATGAAAACAGTCACCTGGTTTTCCCCTGATTCTTGCAAACTGGTATGATTATACCACGAAAATATTGATCCTGGCCTGCTCATCAGAAAGTCTGGTTTATTATGTGAATCACTTGGACAATGTAATTTTTCCTGCATCCAAACAGGGTGCTTATCCTCAGGACCCTAGCATCTATGCAGCTGTTTAAAGCCTCATGGAAATATTGTAATGGGTATTCCTTTATACAAGAAACTACAACTTGCAATACATTTCCAGAGTATTCAGAAGTTGATGATCTGAATATATAAATATTGTATTTAGTCTCAGTGAAGCTGGATTTAGAAAGATGAACTATATTTACCTGAAAAATATCTGGGTCCACAGACAGGACATGGCTCTGGGTGTCAGAAGGCCTAAGTGAGCTATAGTTGGTCATCTGTCTTCATTATGCTCTCATTAACCCCCATTAAAAGGTAGTCAATTATTCCCAGAATTATGAAATCCAGGTACTAATCATCTTTGAGAGAAAGTTGGGAAAAATACCATCAAAGACAACTAATTTTACTTCTATCACAAAACACATTCTAATTTATGAACAGTGGACTTGGGTAAAGCAGCTGTAACATTATTGGGGTGAATATTCGTCTTCAAGTTATTAAAAATATGAGGAAATAAGATAATAAATCATTACAATGGAATGAATACTAGTTGAAGATTGAGATTCAGAATTTGGACTATAAGCTTCAAAACTCTATGGAAATACATTTACTTGCACAATCTTAGTTTCTAGACCTAATAATGGAAAGTTTTGACCTAAATAATTTCTCTAAGATACCTAAAATGTTAATTAATCTGCAGATTGGTCCAAATTATTTATTTGTTCCA